AGGGCACTATAGAAAAGTAAAGAGAGCAAGTCGCAGACAATAGAAAGAGAGATTCCGATGATCTAAGGAAACGCGTGAAACAAGAACAATAGACTTAGCGCGACCAACTTGCCAACGCTAAATAATTTTACTTTTCTCAGTTGGTAGCACTTTCCTAACTTCGGAGGTTAAGTTCGTACAATAATAAACGTGCAATTAAATTTAATGCACAGGTAAGTATTGTTATAAACAAAATTTAATAAATTATTTTAATAATATATGCAAATATGTATATAAACCGAGCTGCTTTGTTTGCTGAACGCAGCAATATTGTCAATTGCAATGCAGATCACAATCTATAATGTGATTGGACAATCTTCAATCTCAATCTTAATCTCAATCTTAATCTCAATCGCCAATGCGTAGTCTGATACCAGCTTTACTCTTGTTAGAAGAATTTTATTATTAAGCATCCTTTTTGGCGCCAACATCGCTGGTGTGAAGTCAATCGGATCGCAGCCTATATGTATAAAAACAGCCATATAGTCTCAAGTATAAATATTTTTTTATTTTTCTGAGCAAAATAGATAATTCTGGGTGGTATGCGTTGGTGAAATATAAAAGTGGCAATACAACTGAAGTACTACTAGTGCATAAAATTAAAATCAAACTCAAAAAAGATGAACGAGAAGCATTCAATCCAAAGTCTAACGGATTTTGATAAAACGAAATTTTACACGGTTAATACTACGCATGGCAGCGAGGACGGAAAAAAGCACAAATGGTATGCTTTAATCGGTTTGCTTGCAGATATGCATTATTTTCCCAAGCCTAACATGAAACTATAACCTAAAATTGATTAGTCAAAGATGATTGAGGCTGCGTTTTATTTCACGCATGATTTTTTTTTTATCTTTAACATTTGGTGAACAACAAACTCATACAGCACACTAATGTTGAATCAACATCTCAGAAACGTTGAATTGCAAGATTGCGAATATTGCAGCAACATCGCGAAATGTAGATTCAATGTTGAAAAGATATTGCAGAAACGTCTAATGTCCGTTGAAATTGATGTTGTTAGAACATCTGTAAGACATTGCAATTCAACATTGTTCATTATTAACTTAATCCGCACAGAATAATAATATTTATTAAATATCTATTTGATTTTTATGAAACTAAAATAAAAACCATTGTAAAACGTTAAAAAA